GCGATACCTGAAACCGGTAATAAGTCCAAAAATATTAGTTTTTCCAAAATTTATCCCCGTCATTCTCAATTCTTTCTTTCTTTCCTTCTTTATTTACTAGTATACAGCCGATTGCAGGCAATAGTGTGTCATACAAATTAAGTCTGAAAGAGAATTGGAATTTGACAAAGTGATGAACCGGTTCACAAAATTTATTCGCCTTCGCAATTATGCGATTAATGCAATTAAATTGGCCCTAAATCGTGCAGTGTGCCTCTGGAGGCACTAGAATACGATTTCTTCTGGACGACTCTGATGTTCTTTCCAACGTTTCGAATCTGTCTCCGCATAGATCGCACTTCTGCCTTTTCTCAGTGTCCGTTCCACCTTTCTACATTTCCACACCTCGCTACCATTTTGCACGCAATACAACGAACATTCTTATTAATCTCCCGTGATCATAAATTTACGCAGCTTTTTTGAAAACACCTAACGCTTATTCGCAACTCTTTTCAATATTTAGCGCACCTGACGTTCGCGATTTAATTCCCCCGAGATTTCTAATTGTATTGTACAGATCGAAGAAAATTGAAATCACAGCGTGCTGAATGAAACACATTAATTAAACTGACTTGAAACGATTTTTCAAATTATTTCTTAAAATCCTTTCCTTCCTTTACTTTCTAAATATTCTTCAATATTTTACGTATATACTGGCTCCCAATTTTAACGCGAATTTAATACCGTTCGATTTGACTAAATTAAAAGGGCAACCGACAAAAAATATTCACTTCTCCTCTGCTTCTTGTTACTAATTGAAAAATTATGAATTTTCTGCTCTTCCGTTAATTGATTATTTCAAGACTATACGAATACAGGAAACGTTTATCACATCGAGCAATGAAAATACTCGTACATGTGAAATCTTGGGAGAAAGTTAAATTACATCGTTAACAAGTTACGTATAGATTTACATACCGTAAATAAAACTATACCGAACAAAACGATTATGCGGCATGCATAGATAATCATACTGAACATTTGGAAAATCGAACGAACCTGGAATTCCTACTTCACGACTATTCAAATATTATCAAATTAGAAGAGAGTTTCATTTCATTATCACATTATTCAAATAACTATATGCTAATCTTAAAATTACGAAAATTTCCAGCAGTACTCATGGAACACCGATAATTATCAACGACGAACTCACTCAATCGTTCTTGACACTGAATTCCTTATAGTTAAAAGAAAAATTCAAATTTTCTGTAATCGGTGCACAGATTGCACAAAACTCGCTGTTTCCTCAAATTCCTGATATTTTTCATTTCTGTTAAATATCGCAACCGTTTAACACAGCAATTGAAAGAGAAAAAAGATCGATCGCATGTCTTCAATAAAACCAGCAACGCAAGGTCGTGCAGAGATGCCGAATAGAAGAACGTGACACTGTTTCAACGTCGCAAGAAACTACGCAAACCATCCAACGGTCTCTAAAGGAAAGCGAAATCCTCAATGAAACACGACTACCAGAAATGAGTAGACGAAGTCGTCGCTAATGATCGCGAGCAAAACCCACGTATAAAGGGAAGAAAGAAGAATGTGAGAAAAGGAAGGATACTCACAAGGTAGAGAAATGTTTCCAAGGGAGAAAAATACTCCTAGCCACATGTAAGTTCGAGATCGTTGCGACTCGTTGTGCACTTCCGCTAAATAAGACATTAGCGCAGCGTATGGGCCGGATATGCTGAAAATTTGAAGGGACGTCGTTAAAATTTCTTGGCGTGTTCAAGTTCAGATAGAAGAAAAAGTAGCATTTTTTTTTTTTAATTTGAACCAGTTAACATTGTATAGGTACCTTTAATCCTAAGGTTTTAATCCTAATTAGCCTTGTACAGACAGTCTATTAAAATTATTAAATAATGCTTTTTTTTCTCTGTATTATCCTTGTTTGTTTGCTAGCTGTTACAACATAACAGTAAACAAATGATTTAACGATAATAGCATTAACACAGTGAATTATAGATATTTTGCAGAAATTTCTATATATTTATCTTTAATTATCATTTTACGCGAAGATCGTGTAATTATATTTTTTTTTTTACAAAATTGTAGGAAATATTTAATCACGGTACCCGGTCGTTACTCTCGACACACTTGCTCGATTCATTTAAAATACCATAAAATGCTGTGGGTTTTCGATAAGGAGACTGACGAGTCTTTCAGAATTTTGTGTCTTTTTTGACATTAATTTTCTTATTTTGCAGACTTAGTTTTTCCTGTCTTACGGAAGATACGAATGATTTACCATACCGATTCTACTTTTAATTTCTATTCAATTCGCGTTAATTTCTTATGGTTTTTATTATACTGAGCGTTATATCAACTTACACAACACCATCGAGAAACTTGAACAAAATTAAAAGCCACGAGGTATGCGAAAAACACGTCGCCAAACTTAAGATTCCGGTGAACATGTAACCATAGAACATTATCTTCTTCCGACCAAACGTGTCGGTCATAAATCCCCAGAAAAACGAGGTGCTGATCATACCTGAAAATAAACGAATCTTCAATACTGGCTGCAAAGTGAGAGAAATGATTAAATTACAGATAAAACTTTACACTACGTTCACGGTAGCTTTTCGATCGTGCGAAAAATAACTATCGAGAGAAATTGCAGAGGTGATAAGAGCCAAAAGTTTATGTTTCATTTTGCACGAATAATTGAACGAAAACAGAGTACTTTGACAACTATCGTAAATTGAGAGTAAGATAATGTTAGCATGAAATTTGAAATTGTAATACCCACAAGGTAATTATTGTTTTTAAACGTAATAATGTTTAGATTTAACCATTTAATCATTTTAAGTAGAACGAAATTCTGGTATGTTCACAGGATATTTTTATTCAAAAGATCGTTTCTTGTAAGAACGTTTATAATTAAGTAATAATTATTATAGCGAAAGGCAAACTACGGTACAAATCGCGGTACGATCAAAAGGAACGAAAGGGTTGATATACAGAAAATCGAATAAAATAAAATATTTCATGTCTTGAAACATAGTAACGCTAAAAACTGATTCTTGATTGCGAAGAAGCTTCTTTTAATCTATCACCGCGCAGTAAAAAAAATATATATTTTCTTCAAATTCTTACTCCCGTACTTAAACAACGAACAACTCAAAGTATGCAACTCATGTTCATAAAATGACTCATGGTCATAAAAAGCAAATAAATGGAAAAGAAAGCACAAGCAGCATTAACACCAGAACGACCAGCCAAGTCGAAATGACTCGTTAGCAACTTTCCCAAAAGTGAATTTTCATGTACCTTGAACGTGGTTGGAAAATTAGGTTCGTATCGATACAGAGTCGTTCGTTTTGAAAAAACATAATTCCTCTGAAATGGAACATTTTTAAAGGGAACAAGTTTTTCTAACGTGAACAGAAATCGTTGCTCCTTCAGACAAAACTTATTTCAATTTAGAATGGAGACCTTAACATGCATGTGTGACGCACCAATTTCCATGATAGACCGGATTTCTCTATGTAATACATCACACAAAATGCACAGTTTGAGTATTTAATAAACATTATGTGTGCATAAGTGGAGGTATCGATCGTATTATGCAAAACTGATAAAAATACATAGATATTAAGAATGTAAATGAAGATAATTCAAAGGACAGAACCGTGGTAGCGAACGTGTTAAACTAGATCTTGAATCAAAAGCACTGAAATTTTTCAGAAAACGGCGTAAGCCTAGAAATTCACATTCCCATTTCTCTGGAAAATTGTTAACGTGTCATTTCAACGTAACCGGTGTTTCCAAGTGTTAAATCACGAGTCGAACACTCCTCGGTCGATTTCGAACGTGGTTCTCGTTCCGTTTGGAAATCATCATTCGAGATCGTCGCTCGCGCGAACCGCGTGGTCACAGCGTACGATGAAGTACAAGAGTGTGTATGTGTGTGTGTCATTTAATTACCATCTGTCTGTACTCGTACAAATACACTCTCTAACGAGCCCACGAAGCGCACACCGTGTGTTCTAACCAGAAACTCGAAGCGTACCGCGAACGCGCGCTTTGACTCTCTGTGTCTTTAAGCTCAACCTGTAATTACAGTCGCGGTTACGTGATTACGCCAATAAATGAATATACCACCTGCGAACGTCATCGAGTTGAGTAGACCTTTGTCGAACATGGTCAGGCTTAAGTCGCATTCTGCCGACGGTAAAACGTATGACATCGCCGATGACGAGAAGATGCTGGAGAAACTTGCGGGCAGAACGGCCAACAGCAACAAGAAGTTGAACTTTCCATAACCTGTCGAGCAAATTGACGGTTTAAAGTGAAACTTTTCGAACTCGATATCAGTCGGCTAGCAGACTGGCCGAAGCAGAAGTAGAATATATCATCTCTGTTTTTCTTTTTGTTAAACAGGTATCACGCAAGCGTATTGCTCTCTTTTTGTGAACCCTGGTTGCTGCTTTCTGGGAGAACAAACGTCGCCCTTTTTTCTTTCCCTGAATAGAGAGGACGTTATTTTTGGTGTAGTATATTTGGGGATTCTCTACCTTCAACGAAATGCTTCAGGTCGTTATTTTTTCTATACGGAGTTCATATTTATGGGGAGGGAAAAGGAGTGCTTGGACCTGTCCAGTGTGGCAGTTTTATTTTGCAGAGTTTGTATGTCTGGTTTATAAAATATGCGCAGATCGTTTGGAAGGACCAAATGGACAACGAAGAGAATTTTTAAAGGTGTTTGATTAGCACTATGCTGGATGAAATTGAATATTGAAAAAATTTAGCATTGTGCTGGATAATTGAAGAAAAAAATATATTATAAATATTGAAGAGTGAAAGAATCATTGTTACACAATACTTTGCAAAATATTTAACATGGTCTAGGATAATTGATGTAAAATATAAAGTGAATATAAGGTAAAATATTGGACAAAGTAGATATAAGACAAATATAAAGTAAAATATTGCCAATATTTATGTATCTATACTAATTGTCTATAATATTTTCTAAACGATCATGCTTACCAGAATTATTTATAGCCCGTTCGAAATCTGCAGGACCGGACTCCTCAGACGTTACGTCTTCACCTTTAATGAAACACACAAATAATTACCTTATTGCAGTGTGTTGTACATTAATTTCTCAAAAAGAAGAAATAAGAGCGACTGATACATTGCATTATTTCGTGATAAAGAGATGAAAAGTTAATGTAATATAAAGGAAGAATTAATTAAAATTAAAATTTAATAAAAATTAATTAAATTAAAAAAGGAATTTTTTTTTATAAATGTTTAACCGAGACAACTTTTCCATATGTGAAACAGAACAAATGAAAATAATAAATTTGATATTTCAATAATTTTCATGATCGAGAGAATACAAAGGAACAACCTACGTAGTACATGATTGTAGCTGAACATTGAAAGTATATGGAAGATTCGTTTAAACACCATCATTCACGCACTAGATTCAACAAAATTGATCATTATTATTAATTACTCCAACAAAAACTTTCTCGGAAAGGAGGACTTCGATTTCAATATTTACAGAGTACAAATA